ATTCTTGTATATATATAAGACCGGTAAGAACTGACGACAACAATGTCACATATTGTTGAGTCGAGCACGTGAGGCGTTTGTTATAGCATGACTGTGAAAATTCAGTGTATTGCAAAGTTGTATTCAGAAAGAATAAACCAGTTTTATTTAAGAAAGGACTTGTATCGCTAAAGTTTCTTCGGAAAGAATTTTTACGGAAAATTAACTAACGACCAGAGACATAACACTATATTTTCGATATTTTAATTTAGACGTTAGCTCGAGGGCGCATGACGATAAAATCAAGAATGCTTGTAAAAGAAGGTCACGGAATCTAGAAACTTCCTGTACTCAGTATAAATGATAATTCAATATATATAAATCCAATGATCGAGTAAAGTTATTGCTTCTGTAAACTAAGCAGCAAGTTAAGCGGCATTTGTTATCAATCAATGAAGTCACTTTTAAACATTATTAGTAAATTGGGTGTACAGTAGTTTCTGTTGAAATTGATTTCTGTTTGAAGTTATGCCAACAAGTAAAAGTGACTGAAGCAGATGTTAAAAAAGAAATAAATGAATTTGTTATTGTTACTTGGACTGGATCTTACATTATTTATATATATAAAAAAAAACAATATAAACTATCCGAGAATGGAATGCATTACAAAACTTATGTCAGAAGTGGGATTATTTTAATAAAAATAAAATAGAACTTTGAGTAAACATTAAATGTCAAGATGGCCTCACTGAGCAAAATTGGAAATATATTGGAGTTTATGAAGTAGTTAAAAGAAGGTCAAGAAAAGGGAGGGAGACAAAAATTAAAAGACGAACAATAGAAAAATAATAATGTGATAGAAAATTAAATGAGGACTAGGATGAAAGAAACAGAAAACTACAAAGTACAAGACAGGAATTGAAGATAAATCTGAGGGCTCACACCGCTAAAAACCGGGTTTCGATATTCGTGGTGGGCACAGCATAGGTAGCCCATGGTGCAGCTTTGTGCTTAATAACAAACAAACAAAAGCTGCCCGGCATGGCCAGGTGGTTAAGGCACTCGATTCGCAATTTGAGGGTCGCGGGTTCGAATTCCCGTCACACCAAACATGCTCGCCCTTTCAGCCGTGGGGGCGTTATAATGTGACGGTCAATCCCACTATTCGTTGGTAAAAGAGTAGCCCAAGAGTTGGCGGTTGGTGGTGATGACTAGCTGCCTTCCCTCTAGTCTTACACTGCTAAATTAGGGACGGCTAGCGCAGATAGCCCTCGTGTAGCTTTGCGCGAAATTAAAAAAAACAACAACAAACAAACAAACAAAAGCTAACAGGTGAAAGTGGCTGAAGCAGATGTTGAAGGAGAAATAGATTAATTTGTTATTGTTACGTGGACTGAATCTCATATTACTTTTACCCAATTAATCCAAAAGAACCCATCCAACGATAATAGCAATCAGTTGGCTTCCGCAAATATTTACCCTAATCGCTTAAAAATAATCGGAATATATCAATTCGTTCGTTTAGTAAGTTAATGTTTTTAGTCAACCTTCTAGATGATTTCGCTCAGAGATGTCGCTTAGTTTTTGCAAGTATCTAATTTATATTAATTATTATCAGTTTAAATTTTGGCTTAATTAATTTCTCGTAATGAAATAGACGAGAATATCTATTTATTTGGCTTTAATTGTGACGTTTCACTACGCACAGAGGGCGATTTCAAAATTTTCTGTGTTTTTGATACGCAAAAGTTTTAAATTTTATTATTTCATGCCGAAAGACACGGATCCTTGTCAGAAACAAGCTTGCGCAATCCAAAAATGTTTGCAGGGTAAGTAATACTAAGAGTAGTACTAATAGTACTTACTTATTAGTAGTATGGTGTATATAATATTTGCATGAAACTGAAAGAAAACGCAATATAGCTTAACTTTTTAATTTAAATTTCATTCTCGGAAGTGTTCGTTTTCATACCTCAGACCAGTGGCTCATCATGTATTTGGCGCAATGACATCATCGTGTCATTTATTAAAGTTATTGTTTGGTAAAAACCTTGGTAAATACTAGCTTCTAGTTCTTGATGGTAATACTTATTACTTGCAATGATAAAAAAAATGCAAAATATGAACTATTTTCCCCTTATATCCACTAATAGAAACTTTGCTATTACTTTGATATCCTCAACTTCAACAGAATGTAACTCACACCTTACATATAAAGCCATTCGTCCCCTCTCTTTTGTACTCTATTCCTATTAAATAATTAATCTATAACCCTGTATTTCAAAGAAATTTCTGCCATCAAAATCATCTACATTTAACCATGTTTCAGTTATTCTCATTATATCAAAATCTTCCATACCTACCAGTGCTCTAACATAATCTAACTTATTTCTTATGCTTCTAGCATTACTGCAGTAACAATTAAGCCTATCCGTAGAACTACTTCTATACTAATTTCCTATGCTAAACTTTTCTCTACACCTTATATTTTTTTGCATTTAGTATATCCTGGCCCTCACTACTTTCTAGCCCTAGTTTAAATCTTCCATTACAGATGAGTTAATAGCCCTTGCACAAGCCAGACCCTATTCTATTTAAATGTAAACCATCCATCCCAAAAAAGCTCCTTTTTCTCATTGAACTGTTCCTGCAAGTCCAACCAGCATATGTGCTCATCCTTTACATATTAACCTCAGCCTAGCATTTAGCCCTAGTGACCTACTCATAATTTCATTCCCACAATTAATTCTCAGCAGTATACCTGACACAATTAAGTTATGGCCTTTTTCTTTAAATGCCTTTATCAACCACTTGTACATATTAATTAGCTTCTCTGACCTACCTTTCCCTACATGCACAAAAAAAAACTGCATGATTGTTAGCCCCCTTTATCATATCTCCTGCTCTGTCAGTTATATACTCCACCTTTGCCGCTGGGTAGCATAATAATGTAATTCTTTTCTCCTTATTTACTCCACAGACTATCCTATCTACATGCTTTATCAAGGAATCACCTATAACTGTAACCTCCTTAAGTTTATCATCCATATTCTTCTCTGTCCCTTTTGTTTTCCTTCCCTCCAATAGTTTCTTGTCTGCAGAAGCCAACATGCTCATGACAATTAAAGCTAACAATGACTTTCAGGAAGTAACAAACAGTACTATTATTATTAAGGCTAAAAGAATTGGATGTAAAAGCTTAAGTTACTTTGAAATCCTGCTGCCATTTCTTACTGACTACATTTCTCTTTATCTATTGCCTCTACTTTAATAAGGATAGCCTCAAACTTCTACTCCAACCTGCAAAGGCTATTAACAAATTGCACATCTTCACTGCTAGCTTCCTTAAAAGTACATACCACTACCAGTCCTGAATTACCAAATAAAACCCAAGAGGAGAATAAGGCAGACCCACTGGTAAAAAGGAGTCAAAAGGATTTAGTGAGTTGGGTGAATAAAGGGCAGATGGGTTTTAATTATAATAAATGCAAGATAATACACATGGGTTATCGTAATTTGAATTGTAAGTATAATTTGGAAGGGGAATAACTATAACAGTGTTATGAAATAAAGGGATCTTGGTATAATGGTTGATCAGTCTCTTAAGCCATCCAAGCAGTGTGCTGTTGCTCATAGTAGAGCAAATAGGATTTTAAGTTGTATCTACAGAAATATTAAACAGAAGTCTAAAGAGGTTATAATTTCATTGTATAGGTCACTGGTTAGGCTACATTTGGAGTATTGTGTTCAGTTTTGGACTCCTTGCCTTATGAAGGACATTGAAATGTTGGAAAGGGTTCAAAGGAGGGCTAATAGAATGGTGCTTGGGATGTAGGAGTTGTCATATGAGGAGAGGTTAAGATTTCTGAAATTGTTTTTCATGAAGAAAGAAGAGTTATAGAGGATCTGATTGAGGTGTTTAAGATTGTAAAGGGAACTGATAGTGTTCATATTTAACAGCAAGAATAGTAGGACTATGAGATACAAATATAAATTTTGGCAAGATAGGACTCATCTTCAGTTTTAATTTTCTAACAGGGTGGTTGGCCTTTGGAATGGGTTGCCTTTGAATGTTATGGAGACAGTAAATTTAAGTGAGTTTAAGAGAAAGCTTGAATACTATATGAATGGCAAGGGCTGGCTTTGAGGTCTTTTTATTTGTATTTAATAGTTTTAGTTTGGTTTAGAGGATGGGACAGCCTAGTTAGACCAATAGGTCTCTTGTTTTCCCTAAACACATGCTATTATGTTATGGTCAAGTAGTTCCAGAAGTGGAAATCTTTTAATAGTGTAAGAGTGATTAATAAGTGCAGCTAGCTGAAGGAATATTTATGGGAATGATCAAAATATGGTGGACAGTAAGTTTGAGGATACCAATCACAAGCCCCTGGCAGATAGTGTTGACTGTTACCAGGAAGAATGTCAGTATCTGTAAGTTTAATCACAATTTTTCACTATACCAAATTGTAATTTTATTCACTTTGAAATCTTAAAACAAAAACAGATAAACTGCTGGTCAGTAGATACATTTTAGGTATTTCAGTTATATAAAAAAAAAAATTAAATGTAACATAATTGGAAGTTTGCACACATGAATACCATACTTGTACGAGATAGCAAACTGCAGTTAACAGTTCTTCATCAAAACATGGGTCCAAATAAATATATCTGTTAAGTATTATAATACAAAATGATAAATTTCACAAGTTACCATTTGTTGAGTTATAATTCTATGTTATTTGTTTATTTAACAACATGGTTAAGTAATGTACTCTGTGCAGCATGTACATGTACAGCACTTGGGGATAAATTTTAATTTTCTTTATTTGTCTCGTATTATGTTTCATGAAAGTGTTGTCTTTTTTATTTCAAGCAAGTCATTCTATTTTGGGATTTGAAGTTATTTTTAAGCTAATGCTAATTTTATATCAATATATTGTATGCACTTTATTTCTTGTTATGAAAACCATGATTTATCACGTTTTTCTAGTGCATTTGTTGTAATCAGAATATAATGAATTCAAACTTGAGACTTGTTGCACTGAAAAACTGGATAATTACTGCTGAATAAGAGTAGCTTCTTGTATACTTGTAGGGATAGTGTAGCTAACGAGTCCTGGTATTTTTCTAGGTAGTGATTTGTGATAGATCAGAAATTCTCTAATAGTGAAGGCATGTATTTGATAATGCTATTGTTTTTTTTATTCTCATCTGATTTGAAAATTTTAATTAACTTATTAAAATGAATCTTGTAGAAAGTGTGTACAGTAAACCAAAAATAAGTTCAAAAAGCTATCTCTTTATGAATTTTAGATAATTTAAATCTTAACACTGACCTTTTATTTTAAAGTAATTCATGTTAGAATCAGTTATCAAACTCAAGAGTTACTAGAATTATGGACATGATGCTTCAGGGCATTTTTCACTTAGAAAGTCTTATTCTTTTAGAAAACAACTACAATGAAGATGCCTGTCAATATGTGGTGGAGGCAATGCGACATTGTTGTAAGAAGTTTTATGATAACTCAAAATGTTGCTCAGGATTTCAAAAACCTGATAAGGCAGTGCCTAAAGAAACAGTATGTCAGATATCACAATGAAAATTGTAATTTATTACACTGATGGCTGAAGAAAATATCAGAACAAAAGAAATGACTTTCAGAAGCAGGCTTATTTGTGACTGTGGTTAGACATGATTTACTTCTAGATATGTTAACTGATATTATTTATTATAAGCTTGTAGTTGTTTAATGACATCTTTTTTTATATTTATTTAGTACATACTTTTTCAATAAATGAATTGCAGAAAATTTTTTCCCATCTATTGAAGGAAAAATCTACAAAGTATTTTTATTTTAAATTGTATGCTAAATTTTACTATGTTAATTACTATTTTGGCACCAGTAACCAAGTGGGTGAATACTGAACTTGACCACATCACAAAGTGATAACAGTTACCACATGTAATAGTCTGATTGTGACATTTCATCACAGCTTGTATAACTGTTACACACCTTATAGTTGGAAATTTCATTGTAGCATTTAAGACAAGACTGTAGGTATTTTAATTGAGCAAAATACCGAGGTTTTTGACTTTCTTCTTCAATAGTTAAAACTGATGAGCTAAACTTTTTAATGAAGAAAAATTAAAAGATCATTACACTTAGAAATTGTTTTTTTTATTTGTTTTGCAGTTTTCTTATAAATAATCACAGCTAATAAATAAAAAAACCCTGAAATTCAAAGAGCAGACATTAACAATGGACCTCTCATTGTTTTCAGCTAATTTCTGAGGTAGTGTGTGATGATACTGGTGACAGTGCATTATTGTTCATATTATTAGTAAAGAAACAAAAAGCTTGCTGATTTACCAATATTACAAAGAAATAAAAAACACAAGGTTAGTAAATTCAAAGCAAATGGCACTTGTTTATGCTTGCATACACAATTTAGGTAAACACACTGATGAATTTTGGAAGTAACATTACAGATTTGTTTCAGATTGATACATCAGGATTGATATTTAATGTTCCACTAAACAGTCAAACTTAATAAAACTTTTACTTCAAAATGTTAACTTAAGTAGGTTCTCATGTTACCTCAAGTCATCTGTATTAATATAGCTTCCATGAGAATGAGAGTGTTGGATTTACAAAGGGGCACAGTAGTAAAAAAACGTTAGGGCTATAGAGTTAGGGCTTTGGGTGTGTACAGTGAGGACTGATATGATCAAGAGATTTACTTAGTAGGGGAATCTCTCATTAAGTATCCCAATAAATGCTGGGGAACATAGAATAACTAGCACTTTCATATCAGATACTAAAATACAGGACATTATACATTTTGTTGACAGTTTATTTCTTCTTAGGAGCACTCTCTCTCTCTTTATAATGCATGTAGAAGCAAATGATGTTGGAAATTGTAAAGCAGAAGAGCCATTTAAAAACCTCCATCAGAGGTTTATCGATAGAGGTAGTGTGTGACCCGTTTAGGAGTGCTCCCTCATTTTTTTTATGTGGGGATGGATTACTTAACAGCAACATTACAGTGCTAAATTTTGAAGTAAGGGGTCATCACACAATCTCTTACCCCCAACCTAGCAGAATAACTAATGAACTAATGGCTACCATGTTTATTGATTAATTAGGAAATCAGGCAGTCATTGGTTGAAGTATATGTAAGGTCAATAGAGATTTCAGTTAATAATAAAACTTCATTATATATATATATATATAAAGCATTTCATATTAGACATGATTACAGTTCCACCAATGCACATTTGAACATATGAGAAAATACCTCAGTCACTGTTAAAAAAAGACTTTCGATACTGGTTGTTACTCTTGTTTGGAATGATGTTTGAACAACCAAGTGGTGATGTACAACCTTACCCAAGTTGTTTACTAGATAGCTACATTGTGTATTTACATTAGAGATTGGAAATGAAGCATTACTTACATTTTGAAAGTTCTCATATAATATATTTCATGTCATGACTTGTTTTGCCATAAACTTTTAGTATAAAAGTTTTAATGAACTTGTAATTTAAAATTTTGGCATTAGATATATTAACTGAAAGAATTCAAAATTGTAAAATAATCTGCTGTACATATGTAGCAAAGGGGGGTGGTACTCCCCCTGTATGTGAAGTGAGGGGTCAGTGCCCCCTTGCAATTGCACAGGACTATACTACTGCTCAGCAAGATCAAATGCTGGTTGAACATGTGGGATTGTTTTCAAGGTAAAGGTGAATTATATGATGAAGGTAGGCTCCATTTAATTAGGTTAGGTTGTAGGATGTTTGGGAGATTTTAATGTTGATTGGGATTGTATGGAGTCAAGTAGTGAGATTTCTTGAAGTGATTCAGGTCAGGGTGGTAATAGTCAGAAAGCCAAGAGGGGAAGGGGGATGCAATTTTAGATTTATTGTTAACCACTAATTAGGATATAGCTGTAAGAGATAAGTGTGAAATAGTTTGGGAAGGAGGAAATTAGGTTTGATGTTGAAAAGAAATGAAATTTTAGTTCCTAATGTTCAGAAGGTCAGGTTTCAGGCCATGAAACAGAATTTATCATTAGTGAATTGGGATAATGAGTTAAAAGGTAGTTTGAGACAGAAGATTTGGGGGAATATTTAAAAATAAATTGCTTTTAATGCAAGATAAACATGTTCCTAAAAATAGGAAAAGGATAACAGGAAAGATCAAACATCAAGGATAAATGTCATAAGTTTAAGAAGGTTAAATTGACAGATAGGTTGGAAGATTTATAGAAGTATAGGAAAACTAAAGATTTGATTATAAAATAAATAAGGAAATTCAAAAGGGATTATGACAAACTGCTGGCCAATAATGTTAAAACTAATAGCAATGATTTTCTTAAGTAGGTTAAAGGTAAGCAAGAAAGTTAAAATGGAGATTGGGCCCTTAAAGGATGCTAATAAAAAGTATTTTTTTGTTGAAGTTTGACATGTCTGAGCACTTGAATGTTATATTCTGTTTTTACAAGAGAAGATACTAGTAGTATTACTGATCCTGGGCATTCTATGAAAAGTACCAAAACTGATGTGTATTATGTAGATATTAACTCCTTGATGGTTAGTAGCTAGGGTCCTAAAGGAGGTCAAGATTAGAAATGCAAGCATTTATTTCTCATTTTTTGGTAGGTTAACAGACAATTATCTGAGGATTTGAGAGTCGCTTCACTCCTTTCATTTTTAAATAGGATGGAAACTTTAAGCCAGTTAGTTGTACTTCTCATGTGGGTAAGTTTCTAGTCTGATAACAGAATCTTAACAATGTCATTTAGTGAAATGTATCATAAAAGAAAGCCAACATGGTTTCACAAAAGGGAAATCTTGCTTTACTATTCTGCTATCTAATTTATTTAAAGGGTGTGAAGTTGGTGTAGGTAGATTGTCCATGCTTTTGATAAGGTGCCACATAAAAGATTAGCTAAGAAAATCGGTGCAGTAGGAGTTTCGGAAATATTAGTTGATTGGATTGTAAAGTGGTTTGATGGGAGAAACAAAAAGGGGTTATCAATACTCTAGTTTCTGGACTTTTGTTATTAATGTTTGGGTCTTTGTTTTTTATTTACATAATGGTATTGATAGCATAATTAGTAAAGTTTGTTGATGGTGTAAAACTCATGGGTATTTGCAACTATTGAGGATGTTCAGGTGTTACAGAATGATTTGGATCAATTAGTAAGGTGGACAAATATGTGGCCAATGATCTTTGATTACAGTTAGTACAAGGTAATTCATTTGGGTTACCATTATTTGGTTCACATGTTTAATATAGATGGGAATCCCTCAATAGCATCAATGAAGAAAAGGATCTTGGATCAGGGGTACAGTGTTACCAAAATGCAGCTCTGGCACCTGAATTGAGAGCTGAGACCCAACATTTAAAAAACTAAAAATATGTTTCTAAAAAATAAGTGGGTTAGTTCCAGAAACTGTCTTTCTTAACAAAACTCTCAGTGTCGGTGAACACTGGCTGTTTGTGATCCTCTGTGCACACGGTCATTCTCCCTCAGACACCATGTGACCACTCTGGCTCAAGTTTAAGTGTCAGAGCATTGAAATGGTGAACTGTTTTTTGTCATACATCACATGGTTATTAAGATGTATGAATATGATATTAAAACATTTAATGACATACATTGTATAATTATACTGTGTGTTTAAAATGTGCACATTTATCAAAAAACTTATTATTTATTTAATATACAAGATCATTTTTTTTAAGTTGTTTGCGTGGGCAAGATGGGAGGCGTGCAAAGAATTATATAAGTTAAAGTAGTTAATACTGTAGTACACTTAGAAATATATTAAATTAAAGTAGGATATGCATTTTAGAACTTATTTTATACGGTACTAAGTTGTTGAATTTTTTTTTCCTTGTTGCTTAATTTACAGGAATTTGATTTGCATGTTTTTTATTGGTAAAATATGCATATTCAGTATAGTACTAATAAAAGTAGTCTCAAATAATTAGTGCTTCATATATTTTCTTTATTTAAAATGGAAATTAGGTTTTTGGTTATGAGATCTTTACAAGTTTTGCCAGGAATCTGACACTATAAAATTCAGTACTACTTCAATGATCTTGGCACAGTGATGAATAAGTCACTGAAACTGTTGAAACAATCTTCCCCTGTTATGTGTAGTAGTAAAGCTAATATAATTTTAGTGTGTGTTTATGAAGATATTGATTAATCAAAAGAGGTAACCATCTTTATACAAATCATTTGTTAGGCCTCATTTGAAATACTGTGTATAGATTTGATCTCCTTGTTGAAAAAAGGATGACTTATTGAAATGAGTTTGAAGAAGGGTTACTAGGAGAATTCTGGGGATGGAAAGATTATCTTATAGGGATAAGTTAAGATCTTTCTCCAACTTTTGAGAGGTGATCTTATTGAAATTATAAGGTTTGAGGGATTAAGAGGATAAAGGCCTTTGATATTTTTTGGGCTGTATTGTGAAATAATAGGGAAAGAGAACACAAGCTTAAGATATGTAGAAAATACAGTTTTATTTTTTTAGCAAGATGATTGGCATATGGGGAAAATACAGTTTTATTTTTTTTAGCAAGATGATTGGCAAATGGGGAAAATACAGTTTTATTTTTTTAGCAAGATGATTGGCAAATGGGGTGAATTAATGTTGACAGGCAGTAGTGGATGCCAGCACTTAAAGGAGATTAAGAGGAGAATCAATGATTTCTAAATTAAAGAACTCATGTATGTGGGATTGCCACATGGGTAAAAAATATTCAAAAGACAGTCAGTCCATCAGGCTTCTTTACTGGAACTAACCAAATTGCAAAAATATGTTGAAATTAAATCAAATGGAAAGAATCCTGGATAGTTTTTAAAATTTGTCTGATCATTAATGTGTCATATCTCATTGTCAACCATAGTGTCTAGTCAAATACTAAACAGATATCACTGCTGCAAAAAGTTTAATGGGAATGAAAATGCTTTTCTGTAGCGATGGGTGCTATACTGAGATAAAGTCATGACTTATCATGACCTTTGCTATGATCATGAAAATACGTACAGTTGAAACTCACTTGTGTTATAGCATATCATACAGTCAATAAATGAAGCTGTACTAGCATACCCACTTCTGAGAAAATTAAATATTCAAACTCAATTCTTTATTTATACACGAATTACATAAAATCACATTTTTATTTCTAGGCAAATTGTTTTTTTCTAGGTTTGTTCATTAGTAATGTATTTTCATTTTTTATTCACATTATTTTGAGTACATTGTAGTCAAAACAAGCTCATTTCCAAAATGGTAATGTCCAAAAATATTCAAGTTTAATCATAATTTATACTTATTTCTTACCATTTTCCTGTTATTACAAATAAGTTAATTTTTAATTAAACTCATTTTTAACTATAAAAAGTACTTTTAACATAGAACCAGTTATTTGAATGTAGTAAGTTTTAAGAAGACTACGCATTCAAAAAATAAAATTAGTGATTAAACATAATTGCAAGGTAATTTTTTTTTAATGCTCAGGCAAGTGGTACACAACACATGAATTTTGTACAAGGTGGTTGTAAGGGTTGTAGTTCAGATTCAGTTGTGGTTAGGGCATTCGACTCTCAGGTCGAAGCCCCGTCACACCAAACATGCTCGCCCTTTCAGCTGTGGTGGCATTATAATGTGATGGTCAATCCCACTATTCGTTTTTTTCCACACACTTTTAATATCGTTCAATACTTGTCAATGCAACATTGCTTTTATGACACAAAACACTTTAGTCACATAACATATGAAAAAAAATGTTTGAAATATACACAGTTGATGCATTTCATGTTATAACCAGTGAAAATCTGTAAATGGTTCAAGTACTACATTTTTAGAAAAATCGAGTTGTATGTGATTAGGACTTGTGTGTTTGAGTACATAATGCTAACACATTATATTTTATTTAAGTACGTGATAATGATTCCTGTAGTAAATGGAAAATTTGTGTGTCTAGTAATCAATTTTGATCATGTTTCTAATTAATGGACCTTTTATTAGCAAAATGATTTTTAATAAACCACAAAATACAAGGCTTGTGCAAAAAGCTCACCAGTATTTGTTTAAGTACAAATTAGTATGATAAGTCTTCAGTTGAGATGCCAGTGGATTGTAAATTATTGCTAATGGGGTTAAGTTCGTAAGACTTTTGTAGAACATAAATGAAAGTCTACAAAGTGCTAACCCAAAGCTGCTTCCACTGTATTATTCAGGTTGTGGAGTAGTGCGGAGATAGCTCTTCCCAGATGGCATAGGAACAACCTTTACTCCTGCTGGAAAAAGAGTTGGTATTTCCTCATCTTTCACTGTAGGCAAAACCATGCAGTCCCCTCCTTGCTACAGTTTAACAAATGAAAGTAAAACATACATGCAGTGAGAAGTTTGTACACAAAAGAGCTCTAACATATTTTTTACAAGAAATGTAGAAAAAGAAGCTTGTCAAGTTTATTTCTTTAAGTCTAAAATGTATATCTGAAGTTTCTTTATGCAGATGTAGTTTAGAAAAAGAAAAAAGGATGATAGAGTTCGTTCTTTGAACAGAAAAAACTTTCAGAAATAAAATATCCACAATCCCACAGTTTTCTTTATTCTCTTCTAAATGTTTAAATATATAAAGTTTATAACAATTCCCTTTACTGTCAGTTCTTCTTTAATAGTGAAACACCACACAAATGTGTAATCAAAGTCTCAAATTACACCAGACCAGGCATGAAACTCCCATAAAAAAAAATGAATGGTATTGTTTGGCATTGAGCATACCAGTACATCTTATTTTCACAGTGTATTTATGACCATAATCATACGGTACATGAAACTTGGACACTCGTTTAAAGTGTGTAAAGAGGACATACTTTTCATACTATCTTCTGAAGGACATCTTTACATATAATTTTCATAGTTAGACAACCTTGAAATACAGATGGCAGCTTTCAAATCCTTTTACTTTAATGGGGATTTGTATGGATCTTCAAAGTGCTGGAAAAGACCTGGAATTTTTTTAGGGTAATGAAGATCCAAGTGCAAGCATTTATTAGAGCCAGATCTTTTTTGTAATGAGGTCACTTAAACAGTTAGACCTATGCCTTTGATAAGGAACATATCTCAATAATTGTAACTATTCAGGCCTTTTGGGTATACTTTGAAAAAAATAGTTTCCTTAGGAAAGTGCTGAAAGGTGCAGGAAATCTTGCAAGTATTCTGGCAACCAGCAGAAACAGCCAATCAGCCTCTAGAATGTGTCACTATGGGTTTGTCTTGACTATGCTCTTTGATTGTAGTTTTTATCTATATATATTTTTTCTAGGTCTACTTATACTGGTACAATGTTCAAGACAAAGCTTTAAACATGTAAATTTGGTTACTGCAAATGGCCTACTGTAAACACACACTGACATTGTTCATTCAGCTGTGGAAATATCAATAAATGCCAAGCATGTGTAAAGTTAAAACTGAGTATCTAAAACACAACGACTAAGGATTGGTTTGGAAAAGATAATGTACACAGGGCTTTCTTTTGATGCTGGTAAAGGTAAGAGATAATGTTTTAGATTTTGCTACAAACTTTATTTGTGAATTGCAGAACTTGACAATGGAGATGGTTTTAGTGTGAACAAGGCTACCTCCCTCAAGGTAGCTTTTTTGTTCAACATCTTGTGAAAGACAACATTGTTGCTACTGGGGGAGTAATGAAAGTTCCGATTACACTCATAAGATCCTTGGATCTGTTTTTTTCTACAAGGTTTTATGAGCAAAAGAGAAAATAAAAAGAAACTGCAGAAAGAAGCCTTAAAAGGCAATACTTGATAACACTGAAGAGGGAAAGAATATTATACTATGGTACTAAAAGCAGATCAACTCTGACCAGCTGAAGTTGGCAGAAAGCTTTGCTTGAACAAGAGTAACAGTTTACAAAGAACTGGAAAAGAAAAATATGTTGCCTTAGAAAAAATGAACAAACAACTGGGCTTAAAATTACAAGAACGAATAGGATAC